CGGGCTTCACACCAGAGCAGTCCTCCTCGCTATTCGTGCCTGACACATCAGTCTCCAGGAGTCTTGGAGCATCCTTCAGTGAGTTGACCGGCATGCCTACTCCGCCTCATATGCATTCTGCCGGTCCATCTACAGTAGACCCAGTCGCTGTGACTACTCAGAGGCTCCCCTCGTCTGTCGCCTCATCAGATCCTACGACAGACATACTAGCAGCTTCACAGGCAGCACCAGCTCTAGCTCAAACCCAGACCGCTTCAGCGACACTTCCTGCCACAGAGGGTCAGTCAGTTCAGAGCTCAGGGTCAGATGATGATGGTGCCCGGTTCCAGCTTGCCCCACGTTCTTCAGCGCCCGGCTCGTCCGCTGTAGCCTCACCGTCCAACCCCTAGGTTTTGGTGTTTGACGTCAAAGGGGGAGAGGGTGTTCGAGTATGTAGTCTCAGAGGGAGCTACATTTAGGGGAGCTAGTTATCTAGTATTAGCCTATTATATACATTTGGAGTTCTATTTGTGTGATACACTATTACTTATGCATTTGTGTGTTTACTTTCCTACATACTATTATATATATGTAATAGTGCTATCTACGTGATTGTGATATTTGACATGTGTGATTTCTACTTTGCATTATCTATATGTCATATCACTTGTGTTATGCTCATTTGCTTTTGCTTCCACGTTTATACTTCGAAGCAAATGAGCTTTGTTACTTGTACTCATGCTTAATTCATATCCTTTAAGTACATTGTGTTGGCTTGGGTCATATAAGCTTGCCTAACTCTTTTGTTCTTAACGACAAAAGCTTATATGAACCAAGCCCGTCAAAAAACCTCATTCCATAACATACTCGAGGTGGTATTGTCATCAATCACCAAAAAGGGGGAGATTGAAAGCATCTAGGCCCCTAAGTGGATTTTGGTGATTAATGTCAATACAAGATTACTATGACTAACGTGTGTTTTGTAGAGGCAATTAAGTTAGGTCATGGTAATGGAGATCGATTGGGCAATTGAGGTTGTCATGCCCCCACGATGGAAATCGTTTCGGTTTTCAAAGGATGGACGACAAGGTTAAGGATAACTAGTTCTAAGTGTCAATTGAAGTTGGAGAGACACTTAGAGTAGTTTAGGACTTTGTTTTTTCCTTTGGCCGTACTATGAAGTGGGGTATGAACGGGTAGCTTGACCTAGTTGAGTCTAGTGAGTTAGGTGTGGTACACACTTGTTAAAACTAGCTCTAGGTAGCTCCTATGAATGCCTAAGATCCTTTGGAGCAAACTTTATTCTCATATGATCGAGAGTTAGAAGTGAATAGAGGGTCAAATACTGACCGGACGCTGGCTCCGGTGCGACCGGACGATGGCCGCAGGGTCCGGTCAGTTCATTTGACTAAGGAGAACATGTCTGGAGTGACCGGACGCTGGAAGGTCGTGTGACCGGACGCTGGGGGCCAGCGTCCGGTCGACTCCAGTAAGGGTCCAGACTTGAGAAAGTGTGACCGAACGCGTCCGGTCAGTGGTGACCGGACCCTGAGTATCCAGCGTCCGGTCGATTACAGTAAGCATCCAAGAGCGACCGGACACGTCCGGTCAGTGCTGACTGGACCCTGTCAGCGTCCGGTCATCACTTGGAAACTGTTGCGAGGGTTGAACTGATCGGAGCGTCCGGTCAATATGATCGGAGCGTCCGGTCATCCCGCAGAAGCTCATAACGGTTCGTTTTTCAGGCTGCCTTATAAATAGAAGCTCCACTCGAGTGTGGAGTTACTTTTGCTCATTCCAACAGCTGAGAAACACGTTTGTGAGTGCCAAGAAGAGCAAGGTCCTAGTGAGGTGTTTGTGATTTGAGAATCCAAGAGTGAAACCTCATTAGTGAATCAAGAGTAGACAAGTGTGCATCCATTTTCTCATTAGGCTTCGCGTGGTCAAGTGAGAGTTCGTGCTTGTTACTCTTGGTGATCGCCATCACCTAGACGGCTTGGTGGTGATTGGGAGCTTGGTGATCACCCGGCGGAGCTTGTGGGTGACCCAACTCAAGTTGTGAGCGGTTTTGAGTGATTCGCCACGACGGAGTGTCGAAGAGTCAACCCGTAGAGAGCACTTGATCCTTGCGCGGATCAAGGGGGAGCTACACCCTTGCGCGGGTACTCCAACGAGGACTAGTGGAGAGTGGCGACTCTCCGATACCTCGGCAAAACATCACCGCGTTCCTCTCTCCATTTACTTTGAGCATTTACTTTAAGTATTTACTTTGAGCAATTCGATACTCGTCTTTACATTCATAGAATTGCTATGCTATAGTAAGTTTGGAACAAAGGTTGCAAGTCTTTTGTGCGTTGATTTGATAGAAACACTTTGTCTAGGCACAAGGGGTTAATTGGGCTATCCGTAGGATTTGATTATAACAAGAAAATTTAGAATTAGCCCAATTCACCCCCCTCTTGGGCATCTTGATCCTTTCACACTGTGAAGGTGGAAAACGCATGGGATAGAATGATAATTGAAAGGAACTTGCATATCCATGATTAATTAAAGTCAGAATTTATTTCATCCCTGGATGCGAAGATGAGTTTTGCCAAGTGCATTAATTAAATAAGTAACTCAAGCGGCAAAAGACATAAAGGGGATTTAGCGCTACCCACTCATAGATCTACTGATATGCTGAACGATATGGAGATGGGGATGGGAATGGGGATTAGTGGGGAAATAACGCGTACTGCCTTGAAAACGAAGAGCAGCTCTACAAATCAAAGTTACACAGGTGTTCCCAATGCTGGGAAACAAATAGATATATTGATATGTGCAGTAGTGAGTAATAGATGGATAGATGGGAATGGAGATTAAGAGTAAGCACCTGGCTTTCCTTGTACAAATGGAATGAATCCGTCAACCCGCAGCACAGATCAGAAGAGGAACACAGAGGAAACCGCAATAGGAGAAACAGACAGGAGAGGGATGGTCTTGCTTCACCTGGGAGACGGCAAGAAGCGAATGGAGCAGAGGGGGTGCCACCGTGTACGCGACTCGGGGAACCGCTGGGGGCGGAAGCACAGTTCAACGCGGGAAGCTCGAGCGGCCGGCGACGACGGCGAGGCTCGCGCGACGCGGCACCGGATCCGGCACTCCGGCTGCTGCTGTGCTGAGGCGCAGCGAGACGACGAGCGCGATGAGGGCCTCACGGGGCGATTAATTAAGTGGTGACGACGCGGACGTAGCCGAGGGAATCCGCCACCGCCGTGTCCGCCCTGCACGGATCCAGAGCCTGAGGGCGACTGTCCCTCACCGACACCCACGTACGCAAGGCCGTCGGGATGGGGAAGGGCGCAGTGGCCGCCGTCTGGAGGGGATGGGGAAGGGCGCCGCCACCATGGTCGCGAGGGCCGAGGGCCACATGCGGCTTTTTTTGTCGCGACTTGTGGCGGGCGCGAGCGGCGGCGACGCTCTTTTGCGGCGCGAGCAAGGCGCGAGGTGGTAGTGGCAATGTGGCGCTGCACGGGAGCGGGTTTTGTTTTCTGAGCGACGTTTCTTTAGTTGGAAGGGAGACGAGCGTAGGGGGTGCGGAGAAAGATCGCATGGGCGGGGCGGCTGGACGATGGATGAATGTTGCACTAAAAAGTGTCCATGCTTTGTTCTTTTTAGTCGTAAGAGATTATCAATTTAGCTGTTAAGTGAAAGCGAAAAAGACAACCTTACCCTTAATACATAGAGACTTTCCCTGTGTGCCATTATAAAAGATCGCAATCCCCTGTGTGCCCCTGAAAAAATTCAGCGGTCTTCAGCGCCACTACTCTAACTTTTTCGGGTCCTCCATGCCACTTCCGTCGATTCGAGGCTCTACTTGCGTCAAACTACAGTGTGAAAAGCGAAAAAATATAAGTTCAAAAATGTTATTAATTTTTTTGAGCATCTTATACGACTTCAAATGAAAAAATCAAAACTAGAAAGTTGTAGATCTCGAAATGAGATCTATAATTTTCATATAAAAATTTTTTCATTTAATTCCATAAAAAAATATGATTTGATATGATTAATATATCTTAGAAAAATCATCATATTTTTTTTTAAATGAAAATAGTTTGAAGAGAAGTTTTCAATCCAAAAAATTAAGTAGTGAAATAAAGAAAAAGTTAATGAAAAAGAGAGAATTACGATCTTTTATAATGGCACATACGAAAAAAATCTCTAAAACATAAATAAAAGAGTATAAATAAATGGTAATTAAAGGAAGTTATAATTTTTAATGGTATAGATGACTATACAGAGTGTTAGTCTGCTGGCTTGATGAAATTTTCCCTAGTTTCACAAATGGATTGATTTGAGCGCCTGGGTTGAAGTGACCGGCTCAAAAGGACCGAAAAGGGCATTCGTGTACTTGAAACAAGATGGGACTCAACACACTTCTGTATTGAATATTGATCAAAGAATCGGTATAAAATACATGTACAGCCATGGCTGCACGGCTAGGCGGCTAGGCATGCGGAGGGATGCGGACGCCACAGGCATTGTGCGGAGCGAGTGCGGCGGGCATTACCGCGCCGTGACGAGCGACGTCGCCGACGTGCGCTACATTTAATTAACGAAAAAAAAGGTATATTAGCGGCGCCGCAGAATCTTTCATCTCATCAGTCCATGTGTTTCCGCTATCCCCACTCCTGATTCGTGTTTCGTGTACTCCATCTTTTCCGCTTTCCATTCTTTCCCATCCCCGCTGGCGACTCTTGAACCTGAGAAAATTGCATATGTGACATTCTAATCGTCGCGCTTCGTGGTTTTAGAACTTCAATCGTCGACTTCGTAAAAATAATCCTCCAAAGATTAGACTCTTGATTTTCATGACATTATATGTATTTTATTTCTTTTCTTGTACATATATATGTATTTGGCACCGTACGTATCTGGGAAGGGAAGTCCGAGCCGCCCGACATTTCGTAGTCGCCCGACGTTGAGAAGCCCTAACCCTTCGTCTGTTCGTATCGCCGTCGCCCAACGCCGCGGCAGCAGCCATGGAGGCCCAGCGTCCCGTCGCCAAGGGACAGCCTGCCGACGCCGCGACCATGGAGGGTCAGGCTCCCGATGCCACGGTCATGGAGGACCAGCCTCCCGATGCCATGGCCGGCCCTTCGCTTCCCCTGGCCGTGGCCGCCGAAGGCCAGGCAGGGCTAGCCACGCGCGCCCGAGACAACCTGGCCCCGACGGACGCCCGAGGCCTGCCCGCGCCGATCCCTCAAGGGCTGGCAGCGGCCGTTGACGACGTGGCCGTGCCTGAGGGCTCCATGGATGGCGAAGCTCCACCGGCGGCCACTGCTATGTCCAGAAATTTTAGCAAAAAATCCAGGCCGTGGCGGCTTCCAGCCCAGGCAGCAAGGACGGCGGCGGCCAGCCTGCCTGCTGCAAGGGCGGCGGCGGGCAGGAAGCCTGCCCAGGCAGCAGTCTCGGCCATCAAGTACGGACGTACGTACGACAGCAACAGAAGGAGCGGTCTCAGCCATCAAGCGGTCTCGGCAAATACATGTATAAAGATAAAAAAAGAAAAAAATACATATAATGTTATGAAAATCAATAGTCCAACATTTTAAAGGTTATTTTTACGAAATCAACTATTAGAGTTCTAAAACTGCGAAATCATGAAAATCGAGAGTCAACGTTTTGAGGCTTATTTTTACGAAGTCAAACGATTGTTGTTCTAAAACTGCGGGTCCCAGATATGCAATTTTCTCGTTGAACCATGATGCACCCCCGGCGCCGCGCCTTCAGGGCCGCCCCCGGCGCCTCCTGCTCGGAGCCCGCGCGTCCGCTCTCTGGTGGCAACGCGAGGGTCTCGCCGGAGGTCTCCGCGGAGCAGGATGATGAAGGGGAGGAGGGCGACGTGGGGACGTGGTCGGCGCTGGTGCCCGAGCTGCTCGACGACATCCTTCGGCGCGTAGACGCCGGCGCCGAGAGGTGGCCACAGCGGCGCGACGTGGTGGTGTTCGCCTCCGTGTGCCGCCGGTGGCGCGAGGCGGCCGTCGCCCTGGTGCGGCCGCCGCTCCGGTGCGGGGGAATCACCTTCCTCTCCTCGCTCAAGCAGGTGAGGCCGCACCGAATCCTGACCGTATACCATCTTCATTGTCTTGATTGGAGCTGCGTCGTCAGTCAACGATTGTTTCGCTTTTAAAAGAAATGGAAAAGGCTGGTGGAGTGGAGTGTGGAGCATGCGATTCTGGTGCCGCATCTGTTGCTTTAATTATTTTGCCTTAAACAAAAGAAGTGAGGCATTGCTCTCGGTAGTCAGGGGCATGTTCGTAGTGCCCAAATATCTTCTAATGGATGCGATTCCTCTACCTTTCAATTTCTTTGACACATCGCCACATGATTAAGGTGTTCATACCTTTTATAGAGCTGATTGTACCCACACTTTAGATATTCTGCTTCCAGATGTCACCATTATGACAGCTTTGACTCGCAACTTCTGTTAGAATATACAGTACAGTTAAATAGCGAAAAGTTATATTATGAAAACATTTTCGATGATGAATTTGGTAATGTGAAGCATGTGTTTGAATATATGTAACTTTTCATATTGATGGTCCAAATTTAAAAAGTATGACCAGATAGAATCCTCAAACGACCTAAATTTCGGATAGGGAGCACTTTTTATTTGTATGGACAAAAAAACTAGATGGTTTCTTGTTTAATAAACTTATACTATTTCTGAAGTATTACTTGCAATACATTAGTCAACTAGGGTAGAAGGATGAAACTGCTGGTTATAAAATTCAGTTTAGGTAGTTCTTGGCTTCTTGCTGGTTTACCACAGCACCTAGAAGAATGTACTTTTTTTTTTTTGAAGAGAATGTACTAATATTTGAATTATTATGTTCTATGTTACTTGGTGGATGCGTCTGATTTTGTACAGCCTGGACCTAAGGAAGCGCCGATACAGTGTTTCATCAAGAGGAACAAGAAAAACTCGACTTTTCACCTTTATCTCAGCTTAACACAAGGTTAGTTGGTTTCATGTCGCATTGGAACGGTATTCACTTAGGATCTGGTAGACTGTTACATAGATAAGAAAAGGAGTAGTCACTTAGATCATGGTCCTCCATGTTGATATAAATTTCAAAGGGTTCTGTACATCCTCTTTTCAAATTAAGAAGATTATAACTATTTTTATCTTTTGGTAAGGATGCAATGAGCCAATGAGGACTGACAAAAGCTTAGTTGTTACAAATAAAATTCAACACGATGCACTGTTGCACAGTGAATTCAACCTACATGTTTAGGTTCTTAGCCATTTCATCTATTGATATCACTAGTAACTAAATTTGTATACACACAATAGTAAGGTGTCTATACATTTTTTTTAAAAAAAATTGACACCTCTAGGCTCTAGCTCTGTAGTACTATGTTTTCGCTGACATTTTCGTTTAACAGCATTAACAGGTCAAGGGAAGTTTCTGTTGGCAGCTCATAAGAACAGGTGTGCGTACCGTATGGAATATATTATCTTTATTCTCAAGGATCTCTCTCATGGAAGCCATGTCGGAAAGCTAAAGTGAGGCCTAAATCTAATATTTCAATGGTTTCTGACTGCTGCAACTTTGGTGAAATATTTCAATTTTCAAGAAACAGTTTTCAACTTTATATCTATATTCTCATAGTTCTAGCCATCTAATTTCTTTTTCATAGCATTGAAAAACCATGCCCAGATGTACTATTGGGTTAATTCTATCATATCAATATGGCATTTTTCTTCTATAATTATGATATGGATTGAAATGTGGCTTTATATACTATTAATAAAAATGTCTTTTATATTATATAGGAACTATCTTCTAAATATTTTTTTCAATATTCAACCATCACTAAGGGAATTTGTTTATCAAACACGTGTATGTCCCACGTGCATTTCCACTAGTGTTCCTTTATGTGTGAAAAAATATGACACGCCATGCATTTCATAGGTAAGTGCTACTAATTGCCTCAGTTACAAATTTATCCGCCAACCGCTATATGTACTTTTAGCATGCTCCTTTTGATGCATGCAACTCCATTTTGTCTAAATGACCCCAAACATAATATCAGTCATGGGTGAAGATAGGTCCAGTGTACACTAAAAGAAAGTACATGTAAATATCTCTTACGGCATAGGAAAATTTGATTTCATATCAAACTGTCCAAATTCTTCATTGATAGAGCAACCTGTGCTTGTAGGTCTGACTTCACGAGAACAAAGTTCACTATTTATGATCTGCAGCTACAATATGAAGGTGCTAACGTGCCAATCAGCAGATACAGACCCTGGCTTGCAAGGAAGCAGATAAACCCGCTCGTTTCCACTGGCAATGTTGAAACCGGAGAAGTGACCTATGAATACAATCTTCTCAAATCAAGAGGACCGAGAAGAATACACTGCAGTATCCAGTGCCCTGTAAATGAGGACACTGCAATAGATCCGCACGAGGCAAAGCAACTCTGCACCCCTAGTTCCTTGGTTCTGTACAATAAAGCACCACGTTGGCATGAGGATCTGCAGTGCTGGTGTTTGGATTTTCATGGTCGGGTTATGGTTGCCTCTGTGAAGAACTTCCAGCTTATTGCTCCAGCGGGCACCGGGCAGCCATGGGGCATTCAGGATGATGAAACTGTGATACTTCAGTGTGGAAAGATCGAGGATGATGTTTTCACGATGGACTATCGGCAGCCTCTGTCCGCATTCCAAGCATTTGCAATCTGCCTCACCAGTTTTGGCTCCAAAGTTGGCACGTGAAATAGGTATCTGTATTTTATAGGACCTCTGATTCCCCCTGGGATGGCCATCAACATGTACATATCTTCTCATTCCTGAGAAAAGGGAAACAGTGACCGTGATCATTTCCCACCCTCTCCATCATTCTATTTGACAAACATGTTCATCTCTTGTGACAAGAGAGTGATCTGAATACTGAGGTTTATTTAATCAGATGTTGGCATTTGAAAGCGCGTCACAAATTCTTTGTATATATTCGCCATATTCGGCTGATGGTTTCTGCGACTGATAAGACGGCTGATATTGTTTTGTTGCGAGAGAAAAACACTGTACCATGACTGATAAGCTCTGTTGTGGACGAGAAATACACACAGAAGAAAGAGCAAGGAGAACAAGCGGCGTCCACAAGTGGCGAAAGAATTACTTTGTTGCAGGTTAGTAGCATGGCACTCGCTTTGCTGAAAAAACAAGCCGAAACATTGTTCCGGCTGGTTTGTTGTGAGAGAAAAACACTGTTCCGGCTGAAAAAAACAAGCCGAAAAAAACAGATTATAAGAGAAGCGAACAGGGTAATAGTGTTTTCTTTGTTTGTTTAGATCAGAATAGGAGTTGTTTGGTGAAGTTATTAGTGCCACCTTTATTTAGAGCGGCAGATTCATTTGACACTAACCAAGACATAATTAATCCACTTAATTTGGTTGTTCAGAGCCTCTTCTTGAGGACGAGCCTTATCCTAGCCAACCCATCAACCAAATCAAATGTAGATCATATTTGTTTCGAAAGACGCAAATACATTTTCAAGCTGATGAGAATTCACAAAGTTCTAACAGTGCAAACTAGCAATCTAAGAATAATAAAGTGGACACTGAGTTCCTGCTGCTTCGGAAAGTATCAAGCGTAACCGGACACCAAAATAGATTAGGAGCAAACCAGCAAGGCAGCAACCCATCCGGTCGAGATAGTATCAGATATGCAGCAATGTGATGATTATTGAGGTCAAGATGATTGAACCATGCTACACACTGTTTCCATCCCGATCAGTCTCCACTCTAACAACGCGTAGTTAACAGAAAACAACAAAGCTTGTTGCAGTAGACTGCAGTCATCAGGAGTCAAGACAGCTCATCAACTTGATCAGAAGCGCCATCGCTGTCAGAGTCTGCCTGCATTTCAGAAAATTAACACCGAATCATTCAGCAATAGGGCAGACTGGTGGCACACGAGCACATATCCAAGGGCGCGGGGCGGGACCACGAGAGAACATGATGCTTACCGGTGGCACACGAGCACATATCCGAGCAGCAGGCCGACGGCGTCGGCGTACGCGCGGTGCGCCAGCCTCCTCTTGGTCCGGGCGATCGACCCGGCGTGCTGCACGAGCGCGGCGCATCCAGCAAACCTCTTGCCCACCCTGGCGCCGCTCCCCTGGCACACCAGGCACAGGAACTGCCCCTTGTCCCGCTCCGCCTCGTAGAAACCCCTCAGCGCCGTATCACTGCCCAGCAGCTCGCTGAAAAATCGAGCCGCATTGCCCCCGTTCTCCTCCTCGTCGTCATCTTCGATCTGCGATGCGAAGAACGCGCGGCAGGACCTTACGGCGACGGCCTGAGGGTGCAAGGGGACCGCGGCCGCCACCTCGACTGTGGGCTGTGGCGGCGGCGGCGGCGAGGGTATGGCGGGCGGGCCCCAGCTCCAGGAGTCGGTTTCCGCCGGGTCCGGAGGCGGCGGCGGGTCACACGGCCAAGGCGTATCGGGCTGCGCTCTGGAGGGGGGCATGGATCCGGTGGCGGCCGGGAGGGGCGGCGGGGTGCCGAGAGGTTGCCACCGCGCGAGCTCGTCAGCGAGGCGCTCCTGCCGCTTGCGGTCCTTGCGCTTGCGGCGCTCCTCCCGCTTGAACGCCGTGGACTTGACTAGCCGTAGCCGAAGCGGTTGCTGGTGGTGGCCGCTAGGGTTAGGGGCGGGGGAGAGGTTGGGGACGTCTCGCTCGGTGTCGGACTCCATTGCCGCGGTCCGTGGCGCCGCGCCGGAGCAGAAGCCTTCTGTAGCGCCCAGTTTGGTAGAGTTCCCGCTTCCGGCTTCTTCGGACCGGCTCTGGTACATCCCTTCTCCATTTACATTGGAGTATAGATGGGCAACGGGCCGGGCCGGCATGGCACGACAACAGGCCAGCACAGTCCGATGAGGGTTGGGCCGACAAGACACGCCGTGCCCTGTGGGCCTTCCCTATCAGGCACGCGGGCCTGGCTTTCGCCCAGCATGACACTATAGGCCTTTTTTCATGTCGTGCTAGCCCGTTAGGCACGGCAAAATTGGCGGGCCGTGCCAGCCCACGGCCTGGTTCACATGAAACATCTCAGAAAACTCATGTCCTCAAATATTTGAACAGTTCAACCATAGTTTCAAATTTCAATCAACACACAGAATAAACTTATCTAGTATCAACATAGCTTCACAAAAGAACATATCATAGAATGACTTATATAACAGAAGACTTAGATAACAAAATTAGTTGTTTGTGAAATACTGCCTCATTGAAAATCTTTCTATGTAAAATTCATCCTTGTAAGAAACCCTAAAAAGAAAAAAAAAAGTACAACCAATTCATAAATTGTATTAAGTTATTACATACCATTGTTCAAATGCAAATGATACACAAGTGAGTAAGTGATAACTGACAAGTCCACTCTCAACTCACACAAAAGCAGAAGTCCACTCTCAACCTCAGTCTCACTCTTAGTCACCAGCAGCGGCACCACCGCCTTCAACTTCATCGAGATACGAATTCTTGAATGCTTCTTTAAGCTCTTTTTTGTCAGCAGCTGTATGTTGTTCCCTCTTTTCTCCTAACTCCCAGTCCTTCAAGCAGGTCCGCATCTCAACAGTTTCAGGTAACAAGCGCCGGCGCCCGTTCTTCAATAATCATGCCTGACAAGCTGAAACAAGATTCTGAAGAACAAGTAGACACAGGAACTAACATAATATCTTTGACCATTATAGATAGGATTTGATATGTTAGTTTGTGGTCACGCCACCAAAAAAGTATGTCAAAATCATCCTCATAAGAAGTGACATTGTCGCTGTCTAAATAGACTGAGAGTTCAGAAGTAGCAGAGGTAGAAGAGATGAAGTGGTGGCAGGGGAAGGACCAACAACACTTGTTGCTCCAAAGATTCTTCTCTAAGCATGTTTTCTCTTGCCTGTATGGTTTGATGGTTGTGTAACCCTTTGAGATCTAGTTGCACCAAACTTGCTCTCATGTTTGTTAAACAATTTATATAATTCAGTTTTCATATCAGCATAGTATGAATTGTACTGAGTACTAGTGGCTTCAGCAAGTAATTGGAGAACCCTATGGAAACCTCTTATCTTAGCTATAGGATCAAGAATGAGTGCATATGAGTATAACAGAGGTATGTCGTACCAGTATTTAAGGAATTTAAGCTTCATAGGGTACACGATATTTCTAAGATTCTGGTCTCTTTCACATGCATGCAAATAAGATGCAATCTCCAAAGCATGGTGCAGAACAAGTGGACTGGTGGGATAATAAACACCAGATAAAACAACAGTGTAGTCATCAAAGAGTTCTAGGAACTCCAATATCTTCTCAGCAACATACCAGTGATTTGGAGACAACAGTGCAGTTCCATAATTTGAATTAATAAACATAGAAAATACTTCACTATATGGAACCAGGTGTTTCAGCATAAGATAAGTAGCATTCCATCTAACATCCATATCCAAGCCAAACTTTTTAGGTCTAACACCCTTAGCAGTACAGTAGTTCTTGAACATAGTAATTCTTTTATTAGAGATGTCGATGCGAAAAGTGAACAATAAGTAAATATTTGTAGTTTTACCGTGTGTTGTGATCGAATGTGGCCTAGCACTCAATGACACAGGATTTATACTGGTTCCGACAACGTGCCCTACGTCTAGTTTTAGTCGGTCGGTGACTTTATTCCTGAGCACAGGTGCTTGAAGTTTGCTATGGGGTTACAAACGAGTAGAAATGAGAAGGGGGTGTTAAAGGCCCTGGTCGGACTCTGAACCGAGTGAAAGAGAGTGACGGGTGCTCTAACGTGCGCTAAATATAGGAGCGTATGCTCTGTATAGCTTTTGAGTTTTAGAGCTATTGAGTTGTTCGAGTTCTCGGGTCCTCGAGTGCTCGAGTCCTCTAGCCTCTTTTTGTTGGGAGAGAGCGCATCCTCTTTTATAGTTGAAAGGGATGGCCTTACAAGTCAGAGAGAAAGAAAGAGAGTATATACGTGTGCTACCTAGTCTTGTTGCCCACAGTGTTGGGTACGAGTCGGTCGTCGGCGCCCACAATACTATTTATGTATGGACACATCTGGAAGGCTCTATCGTGTTCGCCTGGTATGGCAAACGTCGGTGCCTACAATACTGTTTGCGCTCTGACACGTCTAGAAGGTTGTATAGTGCCCATTTGCATGGCCTGGTGGCACCATCCTGCAGGTGCGTAGGGCATGGTAGGATACGGTCCTCGGTATTACGGTTGACTTGAGCGCCTTACCTTATCTACTCCGCCTGATCCTAGGGCCCTCACCGAGCGGGCGTCCCCGGTCAGTCGGTCCCGACCGTGTAAGTTCAGAAAGAACAGCGAGCATAGGTTTGGCATATCCTCGGTCAGAGTTGGACTGCGGTCCCACCTTGGCTAGGCCTTCCGATCAGGGACCGGATCATGGTCTCGACTTGTCATTATTGAAAGCATCTAGGCCCCTAGTTGGATTTCAGTGATTAATGACAATACGAGATTACTATGACTAACGTGTGTTTTGCAGAGGCAATTTAAGTTAGGTCATAGTAATGGCAATTGATAGGGCAATCATGTTTGTCATGCACCTATGATGGAAATCATTTCGGCTTTCAAAGGATGGACGACAAGGTTAAGGATGGACTAGTTCTAAGTGTCGTTTGGTGTTGAAAAGACACTTAGAGTAGCTTAGAACTTTATTTTTCCTTTGGCCGTACTATTGAGGGGGGTTTGGACTAGTAGATTG